TCTACCATAGTAATTAAGGAAGCAAGTAGAAAAATGGTGTCTGCTGTAGGCCAGCACACTAAAAATCATACTGAGATCAGGTTATAGTCCTGTCTTTACCATTTGCTTCCTATGTGGTAACGAGAAACATATCTTTTCTCTGGTCCTGTGTTCTATCATTAGCAAAGTATGAAGTGCTTAGACTAGCTAATCTAGTTACTAGTTCTATAGTAAGAAAAGAGAAGTAAACAACTGCACCAGTAAGCTGAGGGCAAGCTTGTACCCTTTAATGCAGAGTCAGATAACATTTTGTTTTGAATATCTGTGAATCTTGAAACTTTCACTATACATTAAGTAGATGTGTGCAATACACATACATAGAGCAACTGACCCATGGACCCAACTTTTCTCCTCGATCTCTATAGTACAACTCTGATGATCCAGAGAGGTTCCATCTGAAATCAGCCCAATTACTTACATTCACCCTGCTGTTCAGCCTCTTTCTAGCCAGGAATCTGAATAACTAATTTTAAAATAATGACTATCTGGTTTACTTGAGGTCTGAGCTCTTGATCTATTGGTTCCTTAACCAATTTCTATCCCTGTCTCTTAGTTTTTCTTTAGTGTGAAGGCTGTTTGGTCTGATACAAGTATGGCCATCACTCTTTAAATATACCTTTGGCTTTTATGACTGTTTTTAATTCTTTGCAGCTTGTTCATCAGGTGATTATAAATATGTTTTCTGTAAGTAGCAGAAGGCTGGGTTTTGTTTCCTGATAATGCAGCTAATCTAACTTTTGATAGATCTCAGTTCGTTGACATTTTGGACATTGTTAATGTGAAGGAGATTGTCTCCATTGTTCTCTAAAGATTTTGTTTGTTTTTGCCATTTGACATCAGTGTATTAAGGCGGGCCTTTTAGTATTCTTTGCAGCACTGATTTGGATACAACCAATGTTTTTAACTGTAAGGTAGAGGATTCTTTATTGATGGTAATTTTCATTAAGTACTTTGAATTTATCAATTTAAACATAAATATTTAGTTTTTTTAAGATATCTTAGTAAGTTGAAGGCAGTGAAAAAATTAACATAAATGTTGAATTATCAAATAAATAAATAAGTTTATTTTGAGAAAATTGATGAGAATTTTATCTTATTCCCTTGTATCTGAAGCATTGGATCTCTTCTGCCTCTTTAGGTAGTTTGACTCTCTCTTTAGCTCATGCAGTTTTGATTATGTCTTGGTGTTGTTCTCTTCGAGTTCATCACTCTTTGGGTCTGCTTGATCAGTACATAAGTCTTTCTCCTGAAAACCGAGGACATTTTTCAGCCAAAATCTCTTTCTTTACTCTCCTACCTCTAGTTTGGAGGTAGCTTCTGTTGCTGTGACCCATTAAATATCTTAAATTTCCTTCATTAAAAATCTTATTTATTTCTGGTTCTCTTTATTAGTGCTTTTTCTCTCTGTGAGTCTTGCTAGTAGTTTATCAGTCTTGTTTATTTTTCTCAAAGACCAAGCTCTCAATATGTGCAGGTATGACCACAGAACAAAAACAAAAGAAAAAATGAAAAAATACATTATAAGGAAAAATGTGCAAATGTCCTTTTGTATTAATGCTTTTCTGTCCTGGGGATAGATACACAAAAGTGGAATTTCTGGGTCATATGACAAATCAAACATGAGTTTATTGAAAACTCTCCATACTGTTTGTACTAAGGGATGAGCCAGATAACATCTTCACCAACACAGATTGTTCTCTATATTTTTGATATGTCACATTCTCACTCGTGTGAAATAATATCTTATTGTCTTCTTGATTTGGATTTTCCTGATAATAAGTGATGCTAAGAACTCTTCCATTAGCCTATTGGCCATCCACCTTGCTTCCTCAGAGAATTGTTTGTTCATTTCTTTATGTTTTGATAGGTATTTTGTTGAAGTTTGTGAGTAATTTATATATCCTGGTTATCTAATGCGTTGAATGCTAATATTTTTCCATTAAATTAGCTGTATTAGTTTTATCCTGTGTTACTTTTGCCGTGTGGAAACTCTTTATGTAATGTGTTCCATTTGTTTATGTTTGATTCTGTTGCCTTTTCCAGTGGCATCATATCATTGCCAGAGATGATACAAGCTACATTTAGAGGTCTGAATCTGGAGCATTCTGCCTATATTTTCTTTAGTTTACTTTACATTTGCTGGTTGGATCTCATGGTTTTTGATACGCTTTGAATTTACTTTCATGTAAGGTTTGAGATATGGATCCAGCTTCAATTTTAACAGGTGGTTATCCAGTTTTCCTAATACCATTTGTTTAAGAGGCTATCTTCCCTCCATTTCATGTTCTCAGTCACTTCATGAAAAATTCCAGCCTCCCTTTATGGCAGGTACCCTCCTCCTCCTCCTCCTCCTCCTCCTCCTCCTCCTCCTCCTCCTCCTCCTCCTCCTCCTCCCCCTCCCTCTTCCCCTCCCCCTCCCCCCTCCCCTCCTCTCCTTCCCCCTCCTCCCCCTCCTCTCCCTCCCCCTCCTCCTCCTCCTCCTCCTCCTCCTCCTCCCCCCTCCTTTTTTCTTCTCTCTCTCTGTCTCTCTCTTCATCCCTTTCTTGTCTTACCTCCCCACACCCCCTTTAGGGCATTGTGGTCTGCAATATAGATACTGAAAGGTTATCTGCTATATCCCTTTACATACTTTTAACATTCAGTTCCTGTCCAGCATGATCATTTCCACCTATTATTGTCATACTGGTTCCTTCTTTATCTTACCTACCCTTTGCACAAATCATTGATTCCAAACCATGACCAGTCTTTCTAGCTCCTGTTTTCCCTGGTTGTGGATATTAGTCTCCTACTATATTTATTTTTATATACCACAAATGAATGCAGTCATTCTATATCTGTCCCTCTCTTTCTGACTCATTTCATTCAGAATGATACTCTCTAAATCCCAAAAGAATAAGAGCAACCAGTGCTGGTATGGCTGTGGAGAAAAGAGGGCTCTCCTTCATTGCTGGTGGGAATGCTGATTGGTCCAACCTTTTTGAAAAACAATATGGACATTCCTCAAAAAACAAGAAATTGAGCTCCCACTTGTCCCAGCAATACCATTTCTGTAAATATACCCTGGTGTATAAACACACAGCAGAAACACCATCTACACTGCTATGTTCATTGCAGCACTATTCACAATAGCTAGAATCTGGAAACAATTTGAGTGCCTGGCAACAGGCAAAGGGATAAAGAAATTATGGCATAACTCTACGATGCAACTGCTAGGACAAATGAAGTCAGGAAATTTGTATATGGGATTTTTGACCAGATACTCTTTTTGGTTTATAGGTTCTTTTTCAAAATTCAGCTGTCATTTTATTTTAGCCATAATTCCTTTCGATGTTTAGTCTTTTTAGTTTGATGTAGTACTTGTTTGTTTAATTTTAATTTTATTTTAGCCACTTGTGAGTCGCAGTTCTTAGTTATGGGGTTTCATACATACAGCTTCTGCAGACTTGAGTTTTTTATCTCATCTATGCAATCTTTTATTAGTGACATTTCTGTGCGTAGCTTTCCAATTTCTGCTCGTTTCTACCCGTAATTTCTCGATTGTTTCTTTCATGTCCTCCTTTAATTTACTGGAAATCTGTCTCACTGTTTCATTGAGTTTATTGAACATCTTCATTGCTTCATATCTGGATTCTTTCTCATAGAGGTCCCTTAGGTGAGTAGTACCTATTGAGGCTTCTGGACTCTTTTCATAGTCTGCCTCTCACGGTGGGGATTTGCATTGTTTCTTCGTGTTGGTGTAGAGGTATGGAGACTGAGATGTTACACGAGATTGCTGAGTATGAGTAAAGTGCTCGGCCCAAAATTAGGCCATGCCCACTTCTACAGAGGCCACGCCCACTTCTACAGAGGCCACGCCCCCTACGTATCCTGGTGTGTGTGTGTGTCTGTGTGTGGGGTACAACCTGGGGGAGGAAGAAGCCCGGGCACAGCGTTGGGGATGAACAGGCAGAGGCTCAGGGATGGTGAGCGTCCCAGTGTCCTAGAGGACGCCTGGGGAGTGTACATGGAGAAAGCCAAGTTGCGGGTTCGAGCACTGACTGACCTGGGGGAGGAAGAAGACGGGGCACAGCGTGGGGCACAGCATTGGGCACGAACAGGAAGAGCACATACAACTTCCAAAACGATACCTTTCACCAGAATGTTTCCTTCCCTCTACCTTTAGATTTGTTTTTTTTTTCTTAGTTTTGCTTTCTTTTCAATGAAGGTCAATCATTGATAATTCTCCATTCAATATTATGGGAAGTTTTGCCATTGTTTTCCTTAATATTTTATATGGACTTAGGCCTAACATCAAGTTTCCAATATGTTTTCAGTTAATTTTTGTTTTTGGTATGAGGTACTGTTCCAGTTCCTTTTTTTTTCTTTACATTTGCCTTACCAATTTTCCCTGCACCATTTGTGATGAGACTTTTCTTTCTTTAATTTATCTTCTTGGCTTTTTTTTTTCTTATAAATTACCTCTCAATAGTCGTGAGAGCTTACTAGTTCTTAGTTTTATTCAATTTTGGGTCTGAGTCAGCGTTTGTTCCAACACTACTATGGAATGATTACTATGACTTTAGAATATAGTTTAGTCTCAGAATGAGATACCTCCCATCCTCTTTTGTTTCATAATTGTTTGGACTATTCAGGGGGTTTTATGCTGCATAAACTTTTTGGTAGTATTTGATCTATGTCCTTGAAGAATACCATTGGAATTTTGATAGAAATTCCATCACATCTATATAAGATTTTTGGTAGGATGTAATTTTAAATATGTTAATTCTTTCAATATATGATCATTAAATATTTTTCAATATCCTTGTGAACAAAGTTTTAATGGGTGGGTCATACTAAGGTAAAACATACACCAAATTCGGTAAAATAAGTACAATAGGAAAATAAGAGTAACCATGAAAAGTAAAAATATGGCTAATTTCAGTGATTAAAATCATGTTGCTAATTTTTTAATTTATCATTAGTCAGGATTTGCATGAAGATGTTGAAGAAGTTGGTGCACTGCAGAAAAATCACACTTCTGTGATCTCAGCAAGTTCCACTGAAGCTGCAGATTCTGCCTGCTTGCCTAGAGATGATGAGTCATTAAGCACTGCAAGCTGTGAAATGCCCATAGAACCAATTCTAAGCCTTGATCCAGAGAGTATCCTCAAAGAAAATGATGTTCAAATTTCAGAGGAGAAAGATCATTGTGATGATAAAACTTGTGTTCCATCAACTTCAGAAGAAGATACAAGCCAAACTATGCCTGTAGCAGAGGATGCCACAGAGCAACCAAAGAAAAACAGAATTACTTATTCACAAATTATTAAAGAAGGCAGAAGATTTAATATTGATTTGGTATCAAAGGTAAGTTAACATTTTACCTGTCTTACTGAAGAACACTAAAGTTTTTAATTGATTAAAAAATAGCATTGGGGCCCATAAACTGAATTTTCTTAATTTTATTTACTTTAGAACATTATATTAAAATATATTAACCAGAAATTTATGATAATAATTTAAGTTCTTTATGTATAGGTTACAAGTACATTGCATACAAAGGTAAGTAACTTTCACTGTACACAAAGAAAAATAATTCACAAAAGGGACCAGGCTGCTTGCCTTGCACATGTAAGAACCCGGGTTTGATCCCTGGCACTACATACAAAAACAAACAAAACTACATTACAAATTCCCATTGGTATATCTAAAGGTACTTGAATATTATTCTTTTAATTTATGAATAGTATGATTTATCAAAAATATTCTAATAAATCTCATTAATCTTTTTATTCACCATCAAGTTACTAAATACAATTATTTTACATTAATTATAATATATATCATATATATATAAACAATGTTTTAACAATGTCAATTCTCCCAATCCATGCTCATGAAATATTTTTCCATTTCCTTGTGAACAAAGTTGTAATGGGTAGGTCACATTAAGATAAAACAAACATACATTAAGTAAGTAAAGTAAAGGCCCTCCCGTTGATCGTCGATTTGCTCGAGCGGGCCCAGTAACGTCTCCATTGGAGACTTTGTTGTTACTGTGTCTGGCATATCGAATACTCTCGGTAGCTTGCCGGGCTCTCATTAAATTTGGTAAAATAAATAGGAGGGAAAATAGAATTACCATGAAAAGTTAAAACAACATAAAAATGTAGCTAGATTCAATATTTCAAATTACATTATTATGATTTTTCATTAGTGAGGATTTGCATGAAGAGCTGCTCTTAGTATCTGTATATTATTGTAAGCTCTGAATGTACTGTGCATTTTAAAAAAATTTTTATTAGTGAGACACCATGAGGTACAGTTGTAGACTTAGAAATTTTTGTGCTAGGGTTTCTATTATACAGTGATCAAATACCCATCCCTCCACCAGTGCCCGTTTCCCACTACCACAGATCCCAGTATCCATCCTTACCCCCATCCCCCCCACCCCAGGGGTTTGTCAAATTTGACATCTTCAGTGGATAATTTAATAGTGGTTGTGGCAGAGAAATCAGGAAGAAAGCTATTATCTTATTTTATGTTTATATTCATACCTCTGTTAGGTCAGTGTGACTTCATAGGAAGCCTTTAGGTCCTAACAAGAAGTAGTATTGCGTTGGATTTATCAGAAGCAAGATTTAGTCCCAAAAGAAAATCTGTAAAATAAAGGATAATGGCCTTAAAACGTTAAAGGATACAGGTCTGTTTGAAAGAAGGGAAAAATATAATCCCGTAAATTAAGGATATAAAATGAGAATAAAACAAATCCCATAAATGGAGAGTCAGAAATGAAAGTAGAGAAAAAACAAATCCCCTAAATTGAGGGTAAAAATGCTAAATTTAAATAAAATAGGTTAGGGTAGTGAATAGCATTTTGTTACTCAAATCTGTGTTTTTACATGTATGTGTTCTCTTGAATTTCTACATTAGAATTAAAGCAGAGGTACTAATGTATGCTCTTCACATTTTTCACTACAGTTCCATACACTCATTACTGATAATCTGTTTGAACTAGCTGCTGATCTCTCTCTGATTATGTCCTGATTTGAGTTTATTATTGACTAGATCAAACTTTACATTTCTATGCATTATTTTCCATCTTAACTTCCTACTTAGGTAGTGCTATGTCTTGAAATATAGTTTTCTTTCTATGTTACCTTGGTTATTGATTTCTATGTGTAGATTTCGTTATGATCACAGGACATTGACGATATAGGTTTTGACTGTCAGGCCATCTTGGCCCCACCCCCTCATTTTTAAGGTAATTTTATGAACATTTATTGATTTCATACTCTGAAAAGCTACATATTCCGTGATATTGAATTAATATCTTGAAAAATATGTTATAATAATTTAAGTTATTACCTGTAAGTGTGCTATAGTTACCTTATATATCCTGATCTTTAGCAGTGTCCTAAGTCTAGTTTGGTATATCTGAACTACCTGACTTATCTAGGCATTAACATTTTGAAGTTGTGGTGAAACTTGAATATTATTTCAAGTTGTTATGGGAATATTATTTCAAGTTGTTATGGTGAAACTTGAATATATGTTGCTTTGTATTTTACAAAACACATCCATGTGTTTATATATCCTTTATTAAATTTTTGGTGTGGTCACAACCAGCGGTGCTCAGGGCTGGTCCTGGTGGGCTTAGGGAACTATATGGGGTGGCAAGGATCCAACCTGGGTTGGCTCCATGCAAAGTAAGTGCCCTGCCTCCTGTGCTCTTTCTTCAGCCTCTGGATACATCCTTTAAAACACAATTTTATAACTCAGACTTGGTTTATTGCATAATGTTGTACACATGAAACTTTAGTTATTATGTTGCATCAAGAAAAATATCAGTATATTGAGGGGAAATAAGAAAAGACGGATGGGAAATGAAGAAATTGCTTTCTAGGGAAATCCTTGCCCTTAAAAGCATGACCTTAAAGAGACTGCTTTCTAAAAAACTCCTTGCTCATAAAGACACGATCTTAGAATAACATATCTTTAAAACAATAAGATATTTCAAGTGAAGCAAACATAATTATCTAACTTATTTCCCATACGCTCAGTAAAATTCAAGTATATTTTAGCTTTTGACCATTCTGAAATTTTTGTGGTAGATTAATTATAGAGTACTTAAAATATAGTTTAATATGAATGCATATTTATTATTTCTAAGATTCAGAAATATAAGTTTGGCATTTAAATTTGTTTGCAGTATTAAGTTAGATCTTAAATGCATGATTTAAAAAAAATCTACCGTTAAATCTTAAAGACTTTAAATCTTATTTAATGAAAATACATTTTACATTTTTATTTATTGATATTTGTGTGATCTTATGACTCTGAGGGATCATTAAATATTGGATGTATTCAAACAAGTACCTGCATTTTAGTATAGTTAACGAGTTTAAACTTGACAGTATGTACGTACTTAAAAGCATGAACTTATATGAGTTACTTCATTTATTAGACTGGTGTGAGATGATCTCATTGCCTACTTTTTTGGGATTTTCCTGATAATGAGTGATGCTAAGCCCTTATTCATGAGCCTATTGGCCATCCATCTGTCTTTCAGAGAAGTGCTTGTTCATTTATAATATCCATTTATTGATATAGGTTATTTGCATTTTTTGTTGGTCTTTGTGAGTACTTTATATATCCTGCATACCAACCCTTTATCTGATGTACTGGGTCTGAATATTTTCTCGTTCATTTAGGTGTCTTTGTTTTAGCCTGTGATTTTTTGCTATGATGAATCTCTTTAATCTGACGTGGTCCCCTTTGTTTATTTTTTTTTATTCCTTTGCCTTTTCCACTGGCATAATACCATAGAAGACCAAATTTTGGAGCACATTGCCTGTATTTCCTCAGTATATTTTATAGATTCTAATCTGATATCAAGGTCTTTGATCCACTTAGAATTGACTTTTGTGTAAGCTGTGATATATGCATCCAGCTGTAATTTTATACACGTTATTGTCCAGTTTTCTCAGCACCACTTGTTGAAGAAGCTTTCACTACATTTTATGTTCTCAGCTCATTTGTCAAAAACTAGTTTACCTAGAGATTTAGTCCTGGACATTCTTTCTTACCCATTGTTCAGAGTCTGTCCTTTCTTCATACCATGCTGTTTTGATCACTATAGATTTATAGTGTAGTTTCAGGTTTGATAATGAGAGACCACCCACTTTCTTATTTTTCTGTCTGGCTTTATGATTCATACAAGCTTTATTACTGATTATTCTAAGTCCTTGAAGCATATTATATGAATAGATTTGGGATGGAGAATGCTGTACTCTATATAATAGTTTAGTTAGGAAGGTCATTTTGACAATATTTATTCTTATAATCAATGAGCATGAAATACTTTTCCATTTCTACTTCATAAGTGATTTAATATTTTCATGGTAAAGATCTCCCATTTTTTTGGTTAAGTTCATTCCTAGGTACTTGATATTTCTGGACATTATTTTTTAAAAAATTTTTTGTAGGAGTACTGCTATTTATTCAGCCACTGATTAGCTGATTGAATTGGGCATGAACTCCACCTTAATTTTTTTTAATTATTTTTTTCTTTTTATATTTATTTATTAAATCACTGTGGGAAAAGTTACTAAGCTTTCAGGTTTAAGTCTCAGTCATACAATGATCGAACAACTTTCCCTTCACCAGTACTCATTTTTCACCACCAAGAACCCCAGTATACCCCCCTCCCACCCCTCCAAATGTCTGTGAGGCAGATGATTTCTACTTAACTCTTCTCTACTTGATTACATTCATTATTTCGACAAAAGATGCACCATTATTGTTTAGAATTTCCCCCCAAACAATCAGAATTGCTGAAAAGGCATTGTGAAATATTTTGTTTTCTGTAGCTGGTTATGAAAATCATATAATGTCTCGCGGCCATGATTTTGGATTTCTGCAAAGAGCCAGATAATTACGAGATTGGTTTCTGTGTGTCTGGTGTCATGGCTGTGCCAGAGAGCTGCCTGTGCGGGGTAACTCGTGACCTCGGTAGGGCGTGAAGGACGAGCCAGTACCGCCCCCACCCCTTCCCATGAGACTGCAGTTGCCCCGTCACCGCCGGCTCATACCCGGCTTTCCTATAAGCTCTGAGGCAGCGGCCACCTTGCTGCCAGGGGGGAAAAGACGGAAGGGAGCAACACCCTTTCCCTCCCGGGGAGGCATGGCACCGTAGTTTAACACATGGCCTGTTCACTTTTCTTCTGCAAGCTGCTGGGCTCTGGACTAAGTCCTTTTGCCTCTGGAGCCATGGTCATGCCAGAGAACCACTTGTGGGGGGCAACTCATGACCTCGGTAGGGCGTGAAGGACGATCCAGTACATTCCCACTTCCCATGAGACTGC